GTTGATAATGATAGTAATCTTATTACTGCCATTAGCAGTCAGGATATATTGATCACATTTAACACCAAGAAAAGACTTGGTAAAATAGATTCCCTAAGAAAATGATTCTTAAGATTTTCCTTAAGTAACTGTGAGAGGTTTGATTTTAGTTTGTCACCTCGAGCATTGGTCAATAAACTGTATAATATATCATAACAATCAGTCAGGACTGCATAAATATATGGAGAAATAATATATAGTTATTGAATGTTTATTCATATCTAGAACTGTGCTAGAAACCATGAGAGATACAAAGGACATAAAGACATTTCCTTGTCTTTGTGGAAAATACAATCATATTGGAAAGATTGGATGGACATGCTTCATTTTAATTAAGGAACTATGGAGTAAACCAAATTATCTAACTCTTAAATTCACAGTAGAATAAACAATGACAGAAACAGAAATATCAGTAATAACTGCATTTAGGAGGAGGTAGAAACTGAATGATTTGGGATCAAAATTTGCAGATTTTCTACAAATCTGAGTGGTATTATCTTAAGTATAGAACTCACCTATTGGGGTCTCTAATAAAGAAATACCCCAGGTTTTATAAATTTACTAATAAAAACATGCCACTACAGTTTTATATGTATCTTGTGCTTTGCAACCTCTAAGTTTGCCAAGAATAATTACACAAATATTTGATTACAACCTAGATGGATGTTAATACAATAGACACAGGGGAGGGCAGTTTGCTAATGGAAATGCTGGAGATTAGGTGTTACAACTAGTGCCCTTTTCAAAATTAAATGCAGAAGATAAGAAAATTTCTCTAATAAATTGCTGTTTACACAGTTATTTTTAGTAAATTAGGGATTCTACTTACATTTTGTTTTTATGTGGAGGAATGAGATAAAATATATAGCCATTATTCATCTCTATGCTGAAACAGAAGTATTTTTACTTACATATGCAGGCATATATACATATATTTTTTCCTTATTTATCACATAAGTTTATTGAAATAACTTTATTAAAATAGAGATCGCAAAACATATTCATGTCCCAAAATCCTGTAATGGCTAACTAATTTATTATTATTTATCTATCAAAACAGTAGATTTTGAAATGTGAACATTTCTGGGCAAAGGTGGTGTTAGGGAATGTGTCACAGAAATGGAATTGCTTCAATACTACAACAGGCAGATGTATATCAAAAATATATAAACATCTGAACACAGATAAGAAAATATTGGCTATATATCAAATAAGATAAAAACAATTTATTTTAAAAAAATTACCAGAAATTAAATGGAAAAAGGTCAGAGCCAGGTATGTAGAACCTCAAGGGCCTGTGATCCAAAGGAAAAGAAAAAAACAATTTAACATTAAAATACTCAATGAAATGAACTCAGCCCTATGGTAGTTCCTAAATACACAAAAATGTATAAATTATATTGTAGAAAAGAATTTTTTTCTTCTATAGTATCTGAGAATGAGAAGGCATTAAATTAAGCACTTCCTTGGGAAGTATTTCCTCTCCTTAAATCCATACTTAGATGTGAACTGGTTCACCATCAAGTTGTTCATGTATGAGCTTTTAAAAGGGAGAAATACTTGGTTTATGTAATGAAGGTTAAACCTGATATCTGAAAGAGAAAAAAGAATGAGGGGGGAAAAAAAAAAAAGTAGACTTAGCCAAGCCCTAGCAAAGAAATACATTTCATGAACACATTGTGAGTTTCTATTTAACATATAATAAATGATTCAAATGGGTAAGGATTAATTTTACTAATTATTCTCTTTACAATCTAGAGCTTTATATTAGTTGTTCCAATTATTATTATTATTATTTTTAATCTAGAATCATCCGGGAAGCTTTTAATTTAGAGAGAGAGACAGAGCATGAAGAGGGGGAGCACAAGCAAGGGAGGGGGCAGGAAGGGGCTGGGGAGAGGGAGGGGCAGGGGAGAGGGAGAGAGAAGCAGACTCCCTGCTGATCAGGGAGCCTGATGTGAGGCTGTATCCCAGGACAAGAAGATCGTGACAGGAGCCTAAAGCAGGCACTTTACTGACTGATACACCCAGGTGCCTCTCCTAGGACGCTTTTATTTTTTTTAATTTAATTTTATTTTTTAAAGATTTTATTTATTTATTTGACAGATAGAGATCACAAGTAGGCAGAGAGGCAGGCAGAGAGAGAGGAGGAAGCAGGCTCCCTGCTGAGCAGAGAACCTGATGTGGGGCTCGATCCCAGGACCCTGGGATCATGACCTGAGCCGAAGGCAGAGGCTTTAACCCACTGAGCCACCCAGGCGCCCCTCCTAGGACGCTTTTAAAAATACAAATCTGCTTTCTAAAATTTATTAATCCATCAAATATTTATTTAGCATGTAGTGTGTTCTGGTCACATTGATAGAGGACTCAAAGATGAAAATAGGTAATGCCTGCCTTCATAGAACTTGGTCTAGTGTGGGAAAAGATTAAGAAAATTAAACTTTTTTTTTTTAAATAAAAGCTATACAATTTTAAAACAAGTAGTTTGAGAGTAAAAGATAAATACTGACAGAAAAACTTGATATAGATTTCATTCCAAGAACATAATTCTTACTGCTGTAAGAGAATGGATTGAGTATAGGTGTCTGTGGAAGAGAAAGTAGGTAAACTAGTTAGTGGATCATTGCAAGAGTTCCGGTAACAAACAAAAAAAGGCTAGGAGAAAGATTGTTTACAGAATATTTCCAGTGTGTTCTGTCCGTGCCTCATGGCTCCCCCAAATACTAATGATTTTGCATGACATTAAGGGGCTTTTTTGTCTTTTAAATTTGACTTGGGTTTAGCTAATGGGAAATACCAGCCTGTGACTAGAGGTCGGCAACAGAATGAAGTTTGGTTTTTATTCCTCTGCTCCTTCTGTGTGTTGACTTCTCTTCTATCAGAGGACGTGGTTAATCTTAGACATCTCTCACCATGGAGCTAGCCTTTCTAGTTTCTAATAACTCTTCCCTTTGTCCTCTCAGCTTACATTGTCAACAGCTTCCTATTGCTTGCTCCTAGCTGTGAGGTCTTGAAGTATTTCTGGTTGGTTTCCACAAACCCTACTTACCCTATCTTTTAAATATGTTTTCATTTAACATTTCCTTCATATTACCCACTCTAAGTGGTTTACCCTTTTATGGCAGGACCCTGAATGATACAGGTGGCAATTGTGGAAAAGATATATAGACTTACTTACATACATTTGATGCATACAGAGGATAGGATTTAATGATGATTTAGAAATGGAGGGTGTGAAAATGGAGGTATCAAGGATGACTTCCAGGTTTCTGGCTTGATCAGTAGGTGAATAGGAGTGTTCTTTGTAAGAGATGAAGATTCTCATTTCTAATAGAGATTCAGGTGGGATGGGAGCAGGTCAGGACTTCTGTCTGGACCATATTGAGTGGAAATGTCAAGCTGACATTTCAAATTAGTCAAAAGTCAGAAGTGAAGAGTAGAATATCAGTACACATTTTGTTGATGTGAGGGCATCTATGTCATTTCAATAGAGAACAGAAGTGAGCATACAACAAAGTCCAAGTCATCATGAAGTTTATGGTCTACTGAGGAAGAAGTCATGAAAAAAATAAAGTACAATGTTAAATTAATTCTACACAACAAAAGTTCAAGCAGGTATAAGATGACATAATGAGAGGTGCATGGGTGACTCAGTCGGTTAAGCATCTCCCTTTGGTTCAGGTCATGATCCCAAGGTCCCAGGATCGAGCCCCATATTGGGCTCCCTGATCAGTGGGAAGCCTGCTTCTCCCTCTCCCTATACCCCTCTCCCTACTTGCGCTCTCTTTCTCTCTCTCAAATAAATAAATAAATAATAAATAAATAAATAAAATCTTTAAAACTATATAATATAATGAGAAGACAGTGCATTTTGGAGGTTGAAAGAAGTGATAGCTAATATTATTCCCAATAGAGACATGCTGAATAGGTGGAAAGATGGAGGAAGGCTATTCTAGGCAGTGAAACAGTATTCATCTTAAATCTCTGTGGAAGAAAGGGCTATAGTTCACTTGAGAAACAAAAATTGACCAGTGTGGCTGAAGATTAGTGAGCAAAGGAAGAAGTAGCATGAGATTAGGTTGCTGAGGTTGACAGAAGACCAGATTATCAGGTCATGACTGTTGGATGCAATTTAATACCTAGTCATAAAGCAACTTAACTTTAATACAAATCTTAAGATGACCACAACTGTCACACAAACTTCATTATTAGATCTTATACCATGCATATCAGATAAAATTGGGATACTCAATATTGTTTTTTTTTTGTTTTTTTGTTTTGTTTTGTTTTGTTTTTTTAACAGTTGGGCGAATTGACTCATCTACTTTGTAGTAAAGCACTACTTGTTAAGGGCATTGATGGAAAAGAGAGAGGATATCTGATAAATCACATGGCATGTCTTTATACCTTAAATTGAACTTTATAAATTGGAAATTATTTTTGTTTTCCCTTCAGGTACCCTTACTCTTTAGGACTTATTACATATGAAAAACAAACCTATCATATAGAAATACTGGGAAATAAAACCATGAGTATTACTTATAGTATATACTGGACATTTTCACTAGGACTTAGTTGTCCTAGTCTTTTTGCAAGAGCTAGTGATTTTACTAGTTTAGTGGAAGATGTTCATATCTGAACCTGAGGTTGCCTGTGGTTACTTATTGTGGTATCCATAAGAAACACACAATGAACAAATTATAACTCTATTCAAGGATGATACATTTATTCTTCAAATGAAGAAAAAATATTAAAAATTCTTCAAGAAGAGCTAATTCTTATACAGTGCCACTATATGTCAGGCACTATTTTAAAATCTCCATACATATTAAATCATTTACTGACTGTAAAATTCCTATGAGGCAGGGACTCTTACCATCAGCATTTAGACATGAGGCAACTCCACCACAGGAAGTTAGAAAACCTGTCTAAGGATGTCTGGGCAGTATACTGTAGTCTTGAAATTCAACATGATGGTCTTGCTTTGGTATATCATCCTTGTGTAGGTGCCATGCTAATCTTCTCTGTGTCATTTCAATTTTAATATATGCATTGCCAAAGCAATCACAACAGTCTTGTTTTATAATTCTCCATCTCAGCTCTCACCAGTTGGTATTTTTCTTTAAGTGAAGAAGATCCATCCAGGGAAAGTAAACCATCACATTACTGAGTAGGTCTTGGGCCAAATTCTTATCAGTGATATTTTCTTGAGTGGCAATGTCAAAGAATTGAAACCTTATGCATGTGTTAGAAACGGATAAAACTGGTCAGTATAATTAGGAATTATAATTAGGAATATGTCACTGCACAGGTAAAGTGATATTTTAATCACTTTTTCTTTTCAAGTTAAACACCTATAGGATAGAACTGAGGAATTAATTTGAAGGAGTTGCTGGTTTGACCTAAACATATGTTAATGAAATCAAATATAAAATTGATTCTTACTAGAATGAGTGTTTAACTATCTTCTAAATAATGGGAAATTTGGCAAAGGAAAAAAGGAAAATATCTATCTATCTATCTTTCCATCATCTATATTTTTTCCACATACATTTCTTTAAATATTAAAATAAAGTCTGAGTATAATGACTATTTGCAGGTATTTGGCCATTTTATTTTTGAAGAATAAAATTCCAGTAATTCTCTAGAGTTGTTTCTCAAGTTTAAAATGTCTTTAAAGAGCAGAAAACATATAAACTTCATTTTGTAAGATTTTCTTCCTGTCAAGATGATTGGTTTTGAGAAGCATCTGAGGGTCTATAAGGCCACCCACCATTTAATAACTCTGATTGTTCTGTGTATCATCAAGTCACTGTGTCCAATCTGGACAGTTTCATTTTACATAACTATAAATTTTACTCTCTAACTGTCATTATTATAAATTGATCTCAATAAGAAAATGTTCATCATTGTTACGGGATGGGGGAAAAAAGCTCAACACAGCATATATTTCAATCTTCCAACAATATAATCACATACTTCTAAGTATACAGTTCTCTGTATGATTCAAAGTATAGCATTTCTAAATACTATTTTGGCCTTTTATATTTCTCATTTTATTTCTTGCTGTCAATATAAACTTAATATCTACTAAGCAAAGGGTCTCAACTGTTGTTAAGGATGTTTTTGAAGGTATTGTCATTTGTAATTTCTTTTCTATGAGATATTTCAGTGTTCAGAATTTAATTCTAGGGTGAAGTGTCAAATATGAGGTTGCTGGCTACATAAATACTAACCCCCTACCCCCAATTCAATTTCAAGGAGCAATTCAGGTGAGAGTAAATAAATAAATAAAAGGTTTGGTTAATGTTGGACATTTGCTTGGTACCGTGTCATTCAAAACTCCTTCCGTTTAAAAACAAAATTTGCATTGACATATGAATGATGTATAATGCAGCATAATTACTTACGGGGTCTTTGAAAAGAGAAGCCCCCTTTTTTCCAAGAGATTTAACTTTGAAAAGGAATTACTTCACATGACCAACAAATACTATTAAAAAGCATTTTATGAGGTTCTTTCCCTGCATATTTCTACACATGGACAGACTATTGTGTGTTCTAAAACCTGTATTTACATGACACACTTTTATGGTCCAATGGGCAAACACTACTTAGTCCTAAAATAACATCACAGTAATGACTACAGTCAAGACAGCAAGAACACTCCACCATTATTATCCATATCAGACTCCACCAGATGGGGTATCTGTGGTGGAGTGCTGACAGTGGAGAACACTGAACAACTCTTTCTGGTATTTTTGTGTACTCTTAGGCACAGCGATTTTACATTTAAAATAAGCAGTGCATCAATTCTTCCATTTTAAAGAAATATGTTGTATCACATATTCTTTGCTTCATTTGAATCTAGTGGAGAAAGAAATGACATGGAAAATTGAAGATGACTTACATTAAGTGGGATTTAACCAAATTTCACTGGGTATAAGGCAAGTTTCCAACCTCAGGAGTATTGATTTTTTTGTGTTGGGTTATTCTTTGTGTGGGGACTGTCCTGTGCATTGTAGGATGTTTAATAGTATCGTTGACCTCTATTGACTAGAAGCCAGTATCCAGAGAGTTGTGACAACCAACAATGTCTCTTCATAAGGAATGAACTCATGAACATGCACATACTCTTTAAACAGATTAAATTATATGGCTTGGCTTTGTCAATATCAGAGTTTTATCAGTCTCCAGATGTACATTCTTTCTCAAAGTATACTTTATTTATATTTATTCATTTGTTTGTTTTACCTTCAGTCATGGCTAGAGTATGTAAGCATTTTGCATCTGCAATATTATTTCACACATTTTTTATTGATAGCAAGAAAATAAAATGGGAACTATCGAGTCTTATAATACAAAGGGACATAAGAGAAAAGCCTCAGTGTTTATTGAAGAGGGGAATTGGCTCCTACAGGTCCCCACTGGGTTCCAGGCTCCTGGAGGCCTGCAGCTCTAGGCTAATTCTTGTCCAGTGTTAAGGAAAATATTTAAACTGTGGAATATTTCATGACAAAAGCTGCTCCCTCCTAAAATCAGTGAAATTTTCAGTTACAGTTCTCATCTTTTTATGCTTTTGGAAAAAAGACGCTGCTTCCAAGAAATCAGGTAGTTGGAAGGAAGAATGAGACAAGATTATTTACCACATCACTGATTATAAACATGACTTGAATTGTAAAAATAAACAGAAAAGAAGTCAGGATCTTTGCTTCTGCTTCATTTTGAATGTCCACCACTGGGTCTAATTATCATGCTAGAACTGTCAATTCTGTCATTGGGTATAGTCAGGGATCCATTGTTTTAGTTAATCAAAAATTGTGCTTTGCAGAGAGTAACCATATATACATGAATTACCAATTTTCAAATTACTAGCATATAATAAAAGTGTACTTATTACTACATTTTTCTCATATTAGTTCTTTCTTTGATAATTTAAAAAGGCTTTCAGGATATTTTGTTTGCTTTAGGGTTATCACTATAAAGCTAAGTTATTATTCTATAGCTATGAAGAAGTGCCTTCTGATATGGATCTCTGGATGATATAATGCCAGATAAAATAACATTTAACATTCAGTATTGGCATTGAAATATTGGCAAGCACTCAATAAATGCAATGGCAAAAATAATAGTCTATATTATATATACATTGTATTATTTTTAATGCACAGTATCTAATGTTAGAAATATTCAATGAAGAGTGAAAAAGACAAAAGTTTCTCTCATAATCATAAGTTCCTAGTAAGTGACCACTATTATGGGTTAGTTTGCTCAATACTATATAGCACATAGTAAATAGAGAAAATTAATGTGGTTATATTTCAGAAAATATGTGTTTAACAGTATATTTTTAATATTGCACTGATTTTCAGAATATATGCAATTTTTCCTTAAATAAAATTATTTAATATGACAAATACTGACTTGTCATTTTATATTTCTCCAGACTTCAGTAATCCAAAATAATTTGACCTATTTATTTAGGATTATCAAGTCTTCTCAGAAATTGTAGTGTAAAAAATATAGTCGAAAGCCTTGACAGGTTAGGAGAGAGAATAGGATCTGAGTGGATGAACAAACACTTAATTTCTTAAATAAATATACATTCCATATCAAATAGGCTTGGTCAATTTCTATATTTACTTTAATTTTTAATGTCTTTTTCTTTTTTCTTTGTAGTTCTCAAAAGCATTTCTCTTATGCACATAGAACAAAAGAAGAAATATTCTGTAGTTAATTTTTACAATTTCATCAGCTGGTAGCAGAGGGCCAGTTGCTTAGTGGATAAAGTGTTGGCTTTATATTCTAAAGGACAACTTCAAATCCCGTTAAGGTTATATTTTTATTAAAATTTCCATTAATTTTTCCCATCAATGTGATTATAGATTAATATTAATTAATTCTTACCATTTTTTGAAGAAATAAATGGAGCCATATCTGATTCAAAGTTAAGCAAGACACTATTCAAGCTTTCTTGGTAACCCTTTCCTGGGTTCAGATTGGTTGGGGAGAAAGGGAATAAGATATCTTTAATGGCATTTTATTGAACTTAGCAATTTAAATGGCCTACCCTGATTTTTGAAGATATCAAATTACCATATGGATGATGTCTTTCTCATGAATTCTGGCTCCTAATGTTTACCACCAAAATGACAAAGGTAATTTTTAATGTTGGATGTAGTACTTATATGTATAAATTGCTGATATTAATGAGAGTTCTGGGATGAGGTCCTTCTGTGCTAAAATTGATACATCAACAAATAGATTCATATTATAGAAGCTGACAACAGAAATTACTGACATTGCTTCTCTGGAGTTTTTCTTTATTATTGTAGCAAATGGTAAACATATCCTAGGAAGAGTATAATCTTAATGCTACTAGGGAAAGTCTGAGATAAAGGTGGGCCACCAGGTATCCTATTTGCATTAAGGCATTCTAAAACTCCTAAGAGAGATGCAAATGAGCACTTTGATGCAGGTAATACAGCTCTAGGTCATTGGAAACAATCTTTTGCAGCCCCATGTGTGACAAAGGATTATTACAAGCTTTGAGGAGGGGATGTTATTCAAAGTGAAATGCAAACTTACCATTACAACTCTAAATTTTAGCAACTAATTTGAATGTCTCATTCTCTGAAGCACTGCAGGACTAATAAGGTTCATACTCAACTCATCTTAATCATTTAACAGTGATGGGAAGTTTGCAGTATTCTAGCTTTCAGAGAAGAATACAGAGCTAAAGTTTTGGACAATAGCACTGTGAAATTAAAATTTAAAGGAGAAGTCCAGGGATCATTATTTCTCTTTATCTTGCTTGTCTGTTTTTTGTAACTTGTAATGTGAAGAAAGGTTTTTAATCTCTTTAGAAAAAAGGGTGCAGTAGAAATGTATGAACGGAAATGTAATCCTGGACATGAGAGATTAAAAAAAAAAAAAAAGGCTGAAACCCCCAAACATCAAAATACATATGTTAATATTTTATGTTATATATTGAGATGCTTTTACAATGAGAAAGCTATTAGACTATTATTTTTACCAACAATATTAAAAGTCAATATTTACCAGACAT